ACCAGAGCCGGGCAAACTCGGATCTTTTGCATCCCGAGTGATCCTCAAGGTTAACCAAGTAGCTCCTCATTGATCCTGCGAGTGCGAGTGAGATGATTCTTTCCTTTTCTTATCCCTTCCATTTCGTAGATGAGTCGCCTCTTCCATAGCCAAACCCAATAGTTTTGCGAACGTAGTAACGAAAATTTTCGCAGGTATGTTTTAAGTAGCTAGAGTGGCTTCGCTCGTCTACGGGATGAAGGGGCTCTATATGGGAGTGGAAGGGAAAAGAAAAAGACAAAACAAAATTATTCATTACTGCTTACTCTCTCGTACTCATTGAAGGGTATGGTACTCAAACTAACCTCATGTAGCGGCTCCTGCGAAGTTAAAGTTTGCCCGGCTCTGATCTAGCACATTAATATGTTGTTTACATTAGGCGGGGTTTCCTTTATACGATATTCACGCTATCGAGTTTCTGCTGTACTACATATAATAATTAGATAGTTTCCTTTTTCACCGTGATTGGCCTTACCAATGGATGATTAATGGAATTTATAAACGAAAATTATTTCTACTGAAACAAAAACTCGAACTAGAAGAAGTTTTGAGATAACCAAAAATTATTACACTTTTTAACGGCTAAACAAAAACAAAATTAATCTTAAACTTCTTCTTTTTAAATACCTATCCACTAAATGAATAACTATTACTATTATATGTAAGCAAAAAAGAATATTATTGCTGTTGTTGAAACGTTTCGACCCATGTAGGTACGTGTGTCAGTAGTAAACGTGATTAATTACTACATACTGTTAGTATTGTGGCTCAATATTTTCTAGTCTTTTGTACATAAAACCTATCTTCCAAAGTACTGCACTGCTATAGAATTAAAGAAAAAAAAATAATAAATTCAGGTATGTTGAAAAAGGGATCAAATTACGTAGCTAGACAATGTAAGTATTTATATTACTTGTCTTTATTTGATACGTATAAAAATATGATATTTAACAACATATACGTTGTGGAATTTACAGCTTCGATTTTATCTGTGCCACTATGGGAAATATTCGACATTATGTTCTCAGTTATTATTAGAAAACGCTTAAAGATTATTGGTAATCAATTTCTAAAAGGGCAAAATTTCCAAATTTTATAAAGGTGCGATGCCAGGGAGTAAACAGGGTTGCTACACATATTTATCTTTTGTTTAATAGCTTTTAACTTGTATTTTATAGTTATCGTATCATAATGTGCATTTTTTTAATAGATATTGCACATCAATAAAAGATATTTATTGGTTCATTCTAATACTCAAGATTATACGGCGCGTAATGTAAATCATCTAAATTATCATTTGCATGTATGGGTTAAAAAATTCTTAATCCTCAAAAACCCATCTCATATTAGGGCGACCAATTTCTACATTAAATTAATTGAAACAAGAAAATTAAGCTTCATGGAATTTGATTTGAAAAAAAATACCAAAGAATTATGATTACATTCAAAATAAAAATTAAGTAAAGTTAAACAAGGATATATCAGTGAAGATTAACTGTTTTGAATTATCACTGCTGCCTGATAAAAAATTACCAATAATCTTACATTTTAATTGTCGAGCCTGTTTCGCTTTCTTAAATGAAACTACTTAAATTTCATTGATGTATTGGACGACTTTTCTTTTAATAATGTAAAACTCCATGGGGTTGGCTTCAGTAACCAGTGACATGTTGACGGGTTAGGAAAAGGGGAATGGAAAAGCTACTCGCAAAAGGGAACAGGCGCAGAAACAAAGAATGATCGGGTTTTTTCACAAATTTTGCGATTTTTAATGTATAATTATTATCCTGTAGCATGTCACGGATTATGGGAGGGGGAGTGAGTAAAAGACAACCCCAATTTTACCTGCTGTTACATTTATATATTGTTTATTATATAGATTACGCTACGATATAGGGATAAATTTGCCTTCGTTTTTTAGAATAAACTCAAGTATAAATTTTGTTATTTCTTAAAAATAGGAACTTTCTACAACTTTCTTATGCCGAGGGGAGGCTTTTTCTGCCTTCATCTCCCCCCAATACTCGTCATATAGTAAAAGTAACCAAATTTTATGGAATAACCTCAAGAATTGGTCTCATTTTTTATTGAGCTTTTATAACTCCCCCTTCTCCTCCGCCCGTTCTCAGGTTGCTGAAGCAGCCATTTATGATTATATATCCCAGAAATATTTGGAATGTTTTTTAATCCGGTTTTTCAAATTATATAATTCATTTTGAAATATCCTCCCCTGTCGTTTAATATTNCCTAATCTAGTAGAACTATAAATTAAAAAAAAAAACAACTTTTTCAGTCTGAATATGGTTGAATAAACTTAAGCGTAACAAAAACATAAATTTGTTTAATTATTTGAGCGCAACCCTAGAAAAAACAATATAATATTTGTAAAAGCGCATCGTTATAAAATAGAAATTTCCAATTTAGTCCTGCAGGACCAAATTAGACAATTTAAGCATATGTTTCACATTTGATGTGGTAATACTTATGACAATAACGGATGAAAGAGGAAGAAACAAGGATTAAAGGTAATTGTGCAGTTAATTGCTATACAAGCTTTCAGGTCGTGATGAGGCACTATAAAACAAGAAAATTATGTGAATATTTGGTGGCCCTAAAGGCCACCGTTTTCGAGAAAAGCGTATTTGAAAATACAGTACGGCCCTGGTAGGAGCACGAAGGCAAATGCGACATTGTAATGTTGCATTCAATCAGCTGCTAGTTAACAGCATCCACGCTTTCGCATTTGTGTACTCATGTATTGTTTGTTATTTGTTAAATTAGAATAACATTAAGGGTAGTTAATTGATGTTTATGTGGGCGCACATCAACTCTCGTCCAAATAATTAATGTACCTTTTTCGCCACAGGTGGTACATAATCCCCTGCATTAATCTGAATATCCGAATTAAGCGACTTGTTCGATAAACTTAAAAAGCTGACAATCTACTCTTAATTTAAACGCGTGCAAAACTGATACATTTCTATAATTCGAAATTAAAAACATGTTCAAGTAAATTAAGTGTATACCTTACATACCTGTGTGTGATACAAACCCCGATAGCGAAAGCCCAACAAAAGACTGTCCCTGCAAACATCGTAGAGATCGATGTGATCGCAATTGCTTGAAACAAACCAAATCCTGGATTACAATAAACTTTTTATAAGAAGGAAAAGGTAATTAATCAACAATTACATATGTTTTTCCATTGTTCCATAACTAAATTCTAGTACCAGTTAAACGAATTTTCGGTTTTTAATAACTTTATTATTGTTGTTGCCTTATTTTTATTATTACTCGTACTGGTAAATAATCACTATTGTTGCATATTACTTACAGTTTACTAACTAATTATTTATACTGCGCTATTTATGCTCTTTTATTTTAGTTAAACTTACACTTACAATAATTGAACACCGCTATTTATATAATAAACGTGTAAGTTTAAAGTAAAAATAAATTAACCAATTTAGAACACTAAAGTCAGTGATACTCGGTACTCGATACATAAAAATATGCATTTCAGATTTTACTAATTATAATTTTGTTAAATAATGACCTTATGATGATGATGATATAACTGGTTCTTTCTGAAGTCTTATTTAAGTATATAAATAGAACAACTGAATTGCTATTAATGTTCACTAAGTGTATGATTTAGTCTGCAATTGTTTAAGCCTGTTAAGCCTTCGCTAAGATTCTCTACTTTTTATTATATCCAGTGCTAAAGAGATACTTCATGATCAATATGATCTTTCAGGAATCTTCATCGAATATACCTACTTGTTTTATAATCATCATCACAATCAAAATATACATAACGAAAAAGTGAAACACAAAAATTGCTTTACATTTTTATTAAATAGTTTTTGTTACATTTGAATATTTTTTTAACTTATAATAGGAAAGGTATCCTTAATTTTTCCCAATTTTCTACAGTTGATTATCCTGGGATTTGTATTACCGGTTCGTTAAGTGATTCCGTTTTTTCTTTTTTTGATTTGGAATACCCTCTTGATCAATGTTGGAAAAAACAATTATTTATTAAATTTGTGAAACAAACTGTTTTAAACAATCTTTTAAATTCATTTTGAACACGTGCTTCTAACTTTATAAACACGTTTTTATTATCGTGACGTGTTGACGTTATTGACTACATAGTTGTGTTTTTAGCAATGTTCAAAACACGTGTTTTAACTTGCCAATCCTATGAGATGTTATATTTTTCTAATATCTACAACCGACGCAAAGTCTACAGAGTCTTGCAAAACACCAGTTCTACTGATAGAAGGTTAAAAAGCTTGTAACTTATCAACGTTTTAATTGACATACCTTTCGGGACTTCGTCGGAATCTTCACTAATGGAGGCCGCTAGTTTGCTATTCACGCATTTAAGAGTACAACTGTGCAATGTTTCGAAATTGTTATTGTTACCCCCGCAACCGCCGTAAATAAAGAAGCGGCACGTTCCCGACGAACCGTCGTAGTAAAATCTAGGTATCATTGCCTGGCAAACACCTCGTTCTCTCGGCAATCGGCAAACATCTAAAAATTTGTTCCATATACAATAGGTATCTACATCAAGTACGAGGGTGGATTGATAAGTTTCCGGCCTGACCAAGAAAAACAAGGTTTTTAAAATTTTTTTTTTTTTATTTCTCAACATAATCTCCTCCAAGGCTGATACATTTCTCATAGCGGTGTTCCAGTCTATTAATGCCATCTCTATAGACTGATTCGTCAAGCTCCTCAAAATAACCATTTACAGCTTCGATTACTTCTTCATTGTCCGCAAATCTCTTACCGCCAAGCCATTTTTTGAGATTAGGGAACAGAAAATAGTCACTCGGGGCTAGGTCTGGAGAGTAAGGAGGGTGCGGCATCAATTCAAACTTTAGATCGTTGATTTTAGCCGTCGCAACGATTGACGTGTGCGCTGGTGCGTTATCGTGATGAAACAAGATTTTTTTCTTCGCCAGATGAGGTCGTTTAATTTTCACCTCGTGGCTCAAACGTTGCAATAAGTCTGCGTAGTATTGACCAGTGATAGTATTACCCTTTGCAAGGTAATCAATGTATATAATACCTCTTGCATCCCAAAAAACAGTAGCCATAACCTTGTTCGCCGAAAAAATTGTTTTTGCCTTCTTTGGAGTTGGTTCCCCTGGTCCAATCCACTGTTTAGACTGTTCTTTGGTTTCAGGAGTGTAGTGGTGGACCCACGTTTCGTCAACGGTTACGAATCGACGCAAAAATTCGCTTGGATTACGCTTATACAATGACAAATTTGCGGTAGAAATGTTTTTTCGAATCAATTTTTGGTCGACTGTTAGCAAACGCGGCACCCATCTTGCACAGAGCTTTTCCATATGCAAATGTTGGTGCAAAATATGTTGCACACGTTCATATGACATCTTACAGGTCTCAGCTATCTCACGCACTTTCAATCTGCGGTCTCCCAGCACTATTTGATGAATTTTTTCGATCATATCTGGAGTTGTGACCTCAACGGGGCGTCCTGAGCGAGGCCCATCAGAGGTGCTCACACGACCCTTTTTAAACTCGGAAACCCACTGCTTAACGGTTGAATATGACGGGGAGGATGTCCCCAGTGTTGAGTCCATCTCTTTTTTAATTTCCTTCGGCGTTAACCCCTTCAAATAAAAGTATTTGATGACAGCACGATTTTCCTGCTTTTCCATTTTTACGAAAACCACAGAGGCGTCTTGTTCAGCGTGCTGTCAAACCTACACTAGCAAGGAGATCAAGGTAGGCCTAGTGGCGTCATCTCTTGGTTAGGCCGGAAACTTATCAATCCACCCTCGTATATGTACATATATTAATTTCACCTATATAAACATACATTCATTATTAATTTGAGAAAAAAATTAATTCAACAATAACTCGTTGCAATTGCGGCATGCCTAGTTTAAGTTTTTAGATAATGCCTACCCAGCTAGAATTATTAAAACATGCCAAATTCAATATGAAAAATCATTTTCCAATTTTTTTACCGGCTATAAACTACCTCAGGTTCATCATCACAAGGTTATCAGTCCTAAGACTGGTTGGACACGCACCTCCACTTTTTCCTATCCCGAGCTAATCTTCGCATTTCCCTAAAACTATTAGAACATCCCACATCTTTAACGATTTGTGAACAGTAATCTAGTCCAGGTCTACCTCTACCCCTCCTAACTCACGTTTCTGCTTCTAAGTGCTCTGTTCTCCTATTCTTTATAATAACTCTTTGTTTCTAATCTTCTCTTTCCACATAAAATAAAATAAAATAATTCGAAGTGGTCTGTGTTCTGTCGAAACTGCCAGACGCGGATCGCGATTTCGATCATTTTGGATCTCATCAGCGCGTCGCAGGCAGCTCCGACAGAACACAGACCAACTTTTACCTGCTGTCTTAACAGCGCGTTTTAGAAAATACTACAATGGCGCGGTAAACGCCATCTGTAGTACGATGCTACATTTTAGGATTACGTATATTCCAACAAGGTCCATTTAAACATATGGATATCCCGGCAATCCCTTCTCTTTCCACAGTATCCTCATCATTTCGAACGCATCTAACCTTTTCTTTTCAACCGTGCCCACTGTCCATGTTTCGCACCCATACAGCGCCGCGATCCTAACATACACCTTCAACAATCATTTTTCGAATTTCTAAATTAACCGTTCGCGAAAGTAGAAGTAACTTCTTTGTTGTACTTTATTGAAGGCGACTCAACCCTGCGCTATCATCTGCTTTATATCCCTACTTCAGGTTAATAAGTGAAAATTTGTTGCTGTTGCTTAGTTCGATTCTCGGTGAGGGTGTGACAACAGCAACAAATTTTCCCTCATTAACCTGACGTAGTTTCTAGTGGGTAAAAAAAATTGAAAAATGAATTTTCACATTAATATTTGAAGTGTTTCATATATCAATTAGATTTACTGAATAATTACGATTTAACTCATTTCAAATCGTATTAATTGTAAGTCAAAATGCACGTAGGGATCGAATTGTGATCTTTAAATTACCTTCGTCACTAATTTGTTTTAATCGTCTAGGAACATTTACATAATAGTCTCCCTTAATATTTCCCTTAGGGTAATAATTGACGACTACGAAAAACCCTGCGACATCTTCAGAAACTCCTATTCCCAAATGTGTGGTTTCCTTCCAAATCATCTGAGTGCCGTTAGTACCTCTATAATTGCGAAAACCATAATCGCTATACCAATACGTGCATATTCCATACGCATCATTGAGTAATAATAAATTGATATCGAAGTAACCTATGCTTTCCCCGTAATATTTAGAATGACTGCCTTCGATTTTGCCTGTTTCAAGGATTTTATTGGCATGCTCCTGACTAAAGTTACTAATTGTATTGCTTTGTTTGAGAGGTTGGACGCCGTGAAGTATACGAAAGCCGTTGATGCAGTGTATAAATTCCTTTTTGAATAACTGCAAACAAAATCCACCATTTCGGTTTGAAAGTACACGAACTTATCGTCATTAGAAATCCATTTTTATTAAAATAATCCTAATGTAAGGAGAAATGTTTACCTCAAGGATGAGACTTCTTTTGGTTTTGCTTTTGGCTGTTTTACGTTCTGTAGTGTTAGAAACCGGCTTCTGAAATTGTAAAGAATGTACACGAACTTATCGTCATTAGAAATCCATTTTTATTAAAACAATCCTAATGTAAGGAGAAATGTTTACCTCAAGGATGAGACTTCTTTTGGTTTTGCTTTTGACTGTTTTACGTTCTGTAGTGTTAGAAACCGGCTTCTGAAATTGTAAAGAATGTACACGAACTTATCGTCATTAGAAATCCATTTTTATTAAAACAATCCTAATGTAAGGAGAAATGTTTACCTCAAGGATGAGACTTCTTTTGGTCTTATTTTTGGCTGTTTTACTTTCTATAGTTTTAAAAACCGGCTTCTGAAATAGTAAAGAATATACCCCAACTTATCGTCATTAGAAATCCATTTTTATTAAAATAATCCTAATGTAAGGAGAAATGTTTACCTCAGCGATGAGACTTCTTTTAGACTTGTTTTTGTCTGTTTTACGTTCTGTAGTTTTTGAAACCGGCTTCTAAAATTGTAAAGTATTCAGAATTTGATCAAGTCAATGAAAATAATAAAATTCCGAGTCGAAAACATGAATACCAATGGGTTAAGGTTTGAGAAAACACAGACATTCTAAAATTAAGTATTAAGATAACAGGATGGGATGTGTGGTACATGTTTTTCATTTTTATCGTAATTATTGGGACAAAAAAGAAACATACGTATTTGGTGCTTATTCAAAATAAGAAATAAAAATTTTGTTGAAGATTTAAAAAATTCGACAAACATTAAGTATGAAATAAGTAAAGAAAATGTGTATCTACTAATTGATCTTTGAAATAACTTATTAATTGGCCTTAATACTGTATAAGCCTGACTATGTGTAGCTGTTCTCTTTTTAAATAATTTTGTTCATTAGAATTTTCACGAAAATTAATCGTAACTGAATAATTGCGAGAAGTTGATCGAGTTCCTTAGAAATATAGATTTTATCGATTTATACTTATGTCATAACGTGGAAGCGGTTTTTCGAGATTCTTTAGACTTTTTTAAAGTTTTTTGGATCTTTATTTAGTTTCAAGTCGAATGTTTCTCTGATAGTGAATCGTCCTGTACACAAAGCTCACCGTCTTCGTTTTTGAAGGAGTAATTATCGGAGCTCCGTCGTCCACCGTTCGAACCTTGATAGCTATGCTGCCTACATCGTGGCCTTGTAATGCTGCAGCCCCATAATATCTGTAAATTTAAGTTAGATTCCTGACCGTTAATTTTAAATTATACTGTTTTTTCCCAGGGTGGCGGTTAAATAATTAGTGTTAATGCTTGCACACAGATTTTAACTTAATGAAAAAATGTTTAAAATTAAGTTAAAATCTGTTCTTAAGCAGTAACCCTTTAGAAGGTATGTTCTTTGACTATCAATTATATTTTACTAACAAATGTATAGTACCTAATCTAGTAGAACTATAAATTAAAAAAAAAAACAACTTTTTCAGTCTGAATATGGTTGAATAAACTTAAGCGTAACAAAAACATAAATTTGTTTAATTATTTGAGCGCAACCCTAGAAAAAACAATATAATATTTGTAAAAGCGCATCGTTATAAAATAGAAATTTCCAATTTAGTCCTGCAGGACCAAATTAGACAATTTAAGCATATGTTTCACATTTGATGTGGTAATACTTATGACAATAACGGATGAAAGAGGAAGAAACAAGGATTAAAGGTAATTGTGCAGTTAATTGCTATACAAGCTTTCAGGTCGTGATGAGGCACTATAAAACAAGAAAATTATGTGAATATTTGGTGGCCCTAAAGGCCACCGTTTTCGAGAAAAGCGTATTTGAAAATACAGTACGGCCCTGGTAGGAGCACGAAGGCAAATGCGACATTGTAATGTTGCATTCAATCAGCTGCTAGTTAACAGCATCCACGCTTTCGCATTTGTGTACTCATGTATTGTTTGTTATTTGTTAAATTAGAATAACATTAAGGGTAGTTAATTGATGTTTATGTGGGCGCACATCAACTCTCGTCCAAATAATTAATGTACCTTTTTCGCCACAGGTGGTACATAATCCCCTGCATTAATCTGAATATCCGAATTAAGCGACTTGTTCGATAAACTTAAAAAGCTGACAATCTACTCTTAATTTAAACGCGTGCAAAACTGATACATTTCTATAATTCGAAATTAAAAACATGTTCAAGTAAATTAAGTGTATACCTTACATACCTGTGTGTGATACAAACCCCGATAGCGAAAGCCCAACAAAAGACTGTCCCTGCAAACATCGTAGAGATCGATGTGATCGCAATTGCTTGAAACAAACCAAATCCTGGATTACAATAAACTTTTTATAAGAAGGAAAAGGTAATTAATCAACAATTACATATGTTTTTCCATTGTTCCATAACTAAATTCTAGTACCAGTTAAACGAATTTTCGGTTTTTAATAACTTTATTATTGTTGTTGCCTTATTTTTATTATTACTCGTACTGGTAAATAATCACTATTGTTGCATATTACTTACAGTTTACTAACTAATTATTTATACTGCGCTATTTATGCTCTTTTATTTTAGTTAAACTTACACTTACAATAATTGAACACCGCTATTTATATAATAAACGTGTAAGTTTAAAGTCCGTTTGTTTAGAATATTTTTATTACAGTTGTAACAGAGTATTAAACACCTCCATGCACACTTTTCTATCCTGAGCTAATCTTCGCATTTCCATAAAGCTAGAACAGAAATGTAGGTCTACCTCTACTCCTTCTAACTCCTGTCTCTGCTTCCAATATCTGGTTATGGTAAGACAATTCAGGAATTACACAGGACTCCTATTAAGTATATAGACAACAGGATAGGATATATTGGGTTTCGTAGCTCAGCTTTTTGATTTTCGTCGTAGTTATTGGGACAGGATGTAACTTATTAATCGCTTTTATTATAAACATGACTACAAAAAAGCTCTCTTTTGTTACATTTCATTTTGGGTTACCTGTAATTTAGAAAATTTTTCAAATCTTATTAGTTTCAAGTCCTCCGTTTCAAAATGGACTGTATATACTTTGTTTTAAAACAAGTCATGATATTTGATGTTTTAATTGGTACAATGAATACTTTAGAGATTACTTGAACACCATTACCTAACAGTTTAAACTGTCTTGGTAAATGATAATGACTGTAATATTCGAAAGGGAAATCTGCAGAGGAAGTAGCTGATACAATATCTAAATCTTTCAAGGCTTATTCTTTTTCTAATTACGTTAAATTTAATTAGATATGTTAAAAGTTAATAAATATAGTCTATATTTTACTATTTCTCATAAAATTCATCTCTAACTTGACAGATTGCCTTAACAAAGGCATATTTCCCTTAGTTAAGATAATTTTACTGAAATACGTCTCGCATATTGTTTGTATATTTTTGATAAATCGACTATTGAATACATACATCTTTATTATAATAAATGAAGAGTGAGACGTCCTGTATACATTATTTTCAATGCTCACCGTCTTTGTTTCCGTTGTCCTTCTCTCGAACTCTGATAACTCTGCTATCTACGTCATGGCCTTCTAGTATCGTAGCCGTAGTCCTATAATATCTATAAAAGCACGTCGTTACGAGACAAAAATTTCCAGTTTAATCCTGCAGGATCATATTTTACAAACTACATATTTGGATGCAATTTTATTACCCTTTAGTTCAAGGGGAAAAATAACATCGAAATTCAAATTTGTGGTATAAACATTATTGTTTTTAATGCTTTTGTGTACGTGTAGTGGTTTTGATGACATCGTATTCGAGAATTTTCGTGACAGAAGTAGTCGACATCGTGGTAAGATGACTAAATCTTTTGTGTGAATAACAAAAAGAAATAATTAACAAAAATAAGCGATAAAATAAGCATTTAATGTGGGAAAATGAAGAAACAGTGATCACGATTTCAGGATATTAAAGACAAAGTGATTTGTGTGTTTTTGTTGCCACAAAATCGAATAATACGTAGTTTTATGTGATAATATTTACGATAACGGTTTACATACATCAGCAATAAATTTCGTCACCAGAGAACAAAGGAATAAGGATTAAGGACAAGCAAGAATTAATAGTAATTGCTGTAAGTGAATTGTTATATTTATACATATAGAAAGAAAGACGTTGGTGACATTAGGCCTTTTTCTCGAGGTTCCTGTTTTTTGCTAAACACAAAAATTACAATTTTAGATTGTAAATGACTGAATTTTCCGCAGAAATAGTAGAATTTATTAAATAACTTGTAATAATCTCAATTTTGGCATGTTTCTTTAAAAATTATTTCAATAGTAAATTTATTTCTGCTGGGATTTTATTTTTACAAATTCGTCTACAAATTTTTATTATTTTCGCTTACGAAGCAACGGGCTAGTGGGTTAAATTGTAAATACCCCTTTAATATTTAGGTAAATTTTTCTTTTCCATTTTCTCCGTGATCAGTTTAAAAAATTCCAGCAAATTGTTAACGTTAGTCTTAGTCCAAAAATAGAAAAACTTGTTAAATAGATTAACTAAGTATATTTGTTACCTATCCCTCTGCAACACAACTCCAAATAACAAAAGCGAAACAAGAAACTGTCCCTGCAGACACGGGTGTCAATACACCCCTGGAAGTAGAAATAACTTTTGAACAAGGTTCAGCAACTTTTTATAGAAAGAAAGTAATAAGGTAAAAAAGGTTTTAACCGACTTCTAGAATTACTAAAGGAATTTTTAATTTTCAATCACTTTTTATTTTTATTCTTGCATTGTTTGTTATTATTATTCGTGCAGGTGATCACTATTGTTACATCTGTAATAATGAGTAAAAGTACTCAAAATTAAATATAAAGCTATAAACAGAAACTGAATCTACATACTACATCCTATGAATGGAAAAATAAGTTATAAGCTAATTTATTTTACATTTTAAACAACAATTAAGTAACTATTGCTCTGTGGCACCTGCACTAAATCCTAATAACTAATATTCATTCTTTTAAACAACAATAATAATAAAGAATGAATAAATAAATGCCAAACTGTAAAAATACTCCATTATACGATAATAATAATAACAGTAAGATTTACTTTTATTCGTTTATTAGATTAAAAAACATATCAGCATGTTCTCTAACTATTTCATACTTTGAAACAATTTTTGTTGTTATATTTAAGTAAAATTATTATATTTTACCCTTTGGGATTATTATTATGAAGTAGTACAAGGAAATCCCAAAATTATTTAATAAAACTGGATAGATCGGCAGCTTTCCAAAGGCTGTGACCTTTAACACTAAAAAACATAAAATAGAAATATTAATTTTTTAACTAGTTTTAATAATTAGCCCAAATAAAATAAAGTGCTTCAAAACGTTTCAGAAAAGTTGATGAATATGTAATTGCAATATTGTTCAGACTATTTAGGTATTAAGAGTAATAATGCTTCAGAGCCTTAGGAAATACATCTCATGGATTATTAAATAAGTAAAATTGATTGTTTCGTGTTCACTTATAATAGTTGATGTTTTCCGAAATTGGCTTCTACTATTTTCTTTCCGTTTGCGTTGAGTCGATGATCATATTAAACTAATTTGTCTGTCCCTCGGGAACAGTATCCTGTATAAAAGTTACCCTATGTCCTTTCCTGTACGCCTGGTAATTTGAATACAAAATTTCATGATGATCGGTTATGCTGTTAAGGCACAAAAACGTAACACACAAACTCACATTCGCATTTGTAATATTAGTTAGGTTTTCATATAAGTTTGAGTAGTTGGGCATATGAAATTACAGAATTTTAACAAAAATCTGACTTTATTGAACAAACAGAATAGCTCAAAACCTAAACTAAACTAAACTTGAGTTCACTTCAGTTCCTGAAGAAGGTAACTTTGTTACAACTACAGTGTCGTGTTTTGGCGTTGGGGTTTTGAACTATTCTGTTTGTTCTACAACAACCGCCAAAGTTTTTTCAAATCTTCATATTATCTGACTTCATGACAGTAATGTGTCGAATTGGGGTCTAATTGAGAATTGAGAAAAAAAGACTCAATTTTATTACAGGCGTCGAATTAAGAAAATTAACAATCTAAACATGTTATATATGATGATGACTTACTCCTTGTGACTCCTTGTTCTTAAGGATTATTTTCGATCTCCTCATTTTTTTATTTGGCGGTAATACATTTTCAACATATCTACCAATCAAATTACCAATCGGATGGTAATTGGCCACAACTATGGTGGCCGTTTTACTTTGGGCAACTCCAACTCCCAAAAACTTCGACTCCTTCCAAACGACTTGCGTAAAATGCCCAGCCGCCGTTTGAGGCTCTTCTGTTCCAAACTGATAGTCCTTTATTTCGTCGTACCAGGATTTTACAGGAGTCACGCCGTCCAATTCTATACCGGCCGGCATAATCTTGTACACATTTTCGCCGTACTTGCCGTCCTCACGATGCTTGAATTCGTCATTAGCGGCGAGTGTATCTGCCCAGTCTTGCGAAACTTCTGATATTTTCGGATCTAGTTCTAGTGGAGGTACACCATGAATTTGCCTATATTCGTTATGGGCTCTTAGGAAATCCTCCACGAAATTTCCTTTTGTAGCTTTATATATAAAATAGATAAGTAGATACTTTTTATATTCCAACATACAAATAAACAGGCGTGTCCATTATATTTACGAGAACAGAACTTGCCCTTACTATTGGCAAAATGTATTGTCCTTTCACATAGAGAAAAGTATAGTGAGTATGGCCGCTGGTTTACCGTCAGATGTTGCCGATCGAAACCCATTATTAAAGCAGTCGGCGCACATCGATCTGGCATCGTGTACTTTTCTCTAAGTGAACGGAATCTACTTATTTTATTTTTGATATTGACAAACAAAACAGTACCGCATGAAAATAAATAAAAGTAAAACAAAAGTACTGGTATGCAAAAGAAGTGGTTGATTTTAGGTATCTAGGAAGTCAGATAAGTCAGTACGGAAGGAGTAGTAGGGATATAAAGCAGAGGATAGCGCAGGATGGAGTTGCCTTCAATAAGAAGAAGTCATTTCTATGCTCGCAAACGGTTAATTTAGAAATTCGAAAAATTTTGTTAAAGGTTTATGTTTGGACCGTTGCGCTATACGGGTGTGAAACATGGACGGTGCACCATATCGGGGTTTTTATTAATATTCGACACGAATTAATAAACGAATAAATTCATATTCGAGGCTATTTCTACAAATCCCTAGTCGCTCTAAGCATCCCCAACTGTCCATACATGGAGAAACATTTTATGGCAAAGCAAGAATAACAATTCTCAATTATAAATCACTGCATTTTCCGCATAAATAGTAGAATTTATTAGGTAACTTGTAATAATATCAATTTTGACATGTTTCTTTAAAAA